AGGAGCTCGTTTGAAATATCGCAGAATACGAGTAACTGTCTCCCAATGTGGTACTCTAGGATATCCCATGAACTGACTGCATAGGAAATATCCGGTCGAGTAATAGTGAGATAATTAAGCTTCCCAACCAATCTGCGATACCGACCCGGATTCTCAAACAATACACCATCATCCATCAATAATTTCTGATTCGGATCCATAGGGACATCAATCGGTCTACCACCCAGCAAACCTGCTTCCTCAAGCATGTCAAATACATATTTCCTCTGAGATAAACAAATACCCTGTTTAGATCGAACCACCTCAATACCCAAGAAACACCTGAGTTTTCTCAAATCCTTAGTATGAAATCGATCCTGTAAAAATATTTTTAACTTGGCAATCTCCTCAGAATCATTTCCAGTAATCACAATATCATCTACATAGACCACCAACAGGACATACCCAGCATCTGTCTGCCTATGAAACACAGAATGATCTGTCTGACATCGAAGAAGACCAAACTCTAAAACTACATCAGAAAACTTATCAAACCATGTCCTCGGTGACTGCTTTAAACCATACAAAGATTTTTTTAACCGACATACACTCTTACCATACTCCCCCTGAGCAGTAAACCTAGGTGGCTGCTCCATGTAGACCTCTTCAACCAAATCACCATGTAAGAAGGCATTCTTGACATCTAACTGAAACAAGGACCAATTAAGATTAGCAGTCAAAGAAATCAAGATATGAACATATGAAATTTTGGCAACAGGAGAAAAAGTCTCTTCATAATCAACACCATAAGTTTGAGTAAAGCCCTTTGCAACAAGCAGGACTTTGAAATGCTCCACAGAATCATCTGGATGAAATTTAACAGTATACATCCAACGACAGCCAACAGTTCATTTACCAGAGGGTAAAGGAACGAAATCCCAAGTTTCATTATGATGTAAAGCATCCATCTCCTCCATAACTTTTCTCCAACCCGGATCAGATAATGCATCACGTAAATGCTTAGGAATAGATATCGCAGATAATTGGGAAGTAAAACAAGAGAAGACAGGAGACAAGGCATCATATGAAACAAAATGAGAAATAGGATGATTAGTAACACACGAACGAGTACCTTTGCGAAGAGCAATGGGTAGAGAATCTAAATTACCTGATATTCCTGGATCAGAAGGCGGCAAGGAAGGCAGTACGGGCACTTCAGTCGATGGGCGAGGACGGCGAGAATAGACACGGAGAGGTAAAGTAGATGATAACACAGTGGGCAGCAGAATATCTGATGGTGGTACAGGAGAGGAGCCAAAGTCCAGATCCAAAGGCTGAGAAGGTGCTGGAAAGTATGGAGCAGATTCTTCAAATGTGACATCCGCACTAGTAAAGTATCGGTGCAGAGAAGGACTGTAGGAACGATACCCCTTCTGCGTGTGGGAGTAACCAAGAAATACACATTTGGTAGCTCGAGGGTCAAGTTTGTCAAATCCAGAAACCAAATTGTGAATATAACAAACACAACCAAAAACCTTAGGAGTCAAGAAAAATAAGGGCTTACCAGGAAACAGAACAGAATATGAACTTTGTCCATTTAACACAGAGGAGGGCATACGATTAATAAGATGACAAGTAGTAAGAACAATATCACTCCAATGATATCGAGGAACATTCATCTGAAATAACAAGGCACGGGTGACTTCCAACAAATGACGGTTCTTGCATTCAGCAACACCATTTTGTGGAGAGGTGTAAGCACAAGAAGTCTGATGAATAATATCAGTTTTACTAAGATAAGCTGAAAAAGGATCAGATTCATATTCCCGAGCATTATCGGAACGTAAAGTATGTATACGACAACCAAATTGAGTTTTTATTTCTTTACGAAAAGTCTCAAATATAGAGAATAATTCAGACCAAGCTTTCATAAAAAATAATCAAGTCACACGAGAATAGTCATCCACAAATGTTACAAAATAAGGATATTTATTAGATGAAATATTCTTTATTGAACCCCATACATCATAATGGACTAATTCAAATGGACTAGACACACAATTATTGACTCTAGACTGAAATGACACACGGTGATGTTTACTAAGTTGACAAGCTTCACAAGACAAAGACGACACATAACTAAGACTGTGAACTTGGCGTTTCAGATTCTGGAGAGAAGGATGTCCAAGACGACAATGTCATTGAAAAGGAGACAACGAGATCTGTAGAGCTCAGGTAGATGAATCAAAGTCAAGGTAATATAAGCCACCAGCTTCATGCCCCGTACCAATCTTCCTCTTCGTCTTGAGATCCTGAAAGACACAATAAGAGGGATAAAAAATTACATAACAGTTGAGAGAATAGGTTATCTTACTAATGAAAAGTAAACTAAAAGAAAACTGAAAAACAAATAACACGGAAGATAGGAACATATCAGGACTCAAGTGAGTAGTCCCCAGACCTGAAACTTTAGAACAAGTACCATTAGCAAGAGTAACACTACGTGTGGAAGTAGCAGACTAATAAGTAGAGAAAACGTCAGACGCACCAGTCATGTGGTCAAAGGTGCCAAAATCTATGATCCAAGGACTGCGAGTGGAGGACAATAAACAGGTGGAAGCAGTACCAGACTGGGCAAAAGTAGTAGTGGAGGGAGATGAAACAGCTTGTTGCTGGGACAGGAACTGAGCATACTCCTCTCGACCCAATGTAATAGTAACCGACCCAGGTAGAGCTGACCGAGGTATGGAAGCAACAACAGAGGTGTCATCCTGATAAGAAGCCTGATTAGCCGTACCAGAAGGTTTTTCATGTAAATCCCAACAGAAATCAACAATGTGTCCTCCACGGCCACAGTGAGTACAGGAACGGGATCCACTACGACCTCCACGACCACCACGTCCACCTCGATGACCATCACTATGACTATTAGGAACTACAAGAGCGGAGCGATCAGTGGAGACACCATGATCAATGACTGAAGGAGTAGACACTGTAGCACGCTGTAAACGAGAGAAAACCTCCAACAGTGATGGAAGACTAGATCCACCCAAAATCTGAGAACGAATAGCCTCATATTCAGGTTTCAATCCTACCAAAAATCGAACAACATTCAGGTCCTCATATTGCTTTTTGCCAAACTGCTGCATCAGTAGTAAACGGATGGTAAGTTTTTATCTCCTCACAGACTCCCCGAACATGAGAGTAATAATCTGCAAGGCTCAAAGTACTCTGCTCCAACCGGAAGTACTCCTTGCACACCTCATACGCACGGGTAAAATTACCTGTGCCAGAATACATAGTGGCCAAGTGATCCCATATCTCTTTAGTAGTATCAAGATAGAGCAGAGAAGAGCTAATACTGGACTCTATGCTATTCAACAATAAAGAAATAATCTGAGCATCCTCTTGTTCCCACTGATCATACCCAAGAGTGTCCTCCTTGGGTTTAGAACCCACCAGATATTTCTTAAATCATTTGCCTCGAATAAAGACTTGAACAGATCGGGACCATAAAGTGTAATTAGTCCCATTGAGTTTGACAGAGGTCATAGGACCATTGATAAGAGTAGGAGGAGGCAAAGATGGAGTAAGGGACGTGGTATTCTTGGGTTCCATAATAGTGCAATAAATAGCAAATAAGAAGTGTTGCAATAAGAATCCGGGTCAATTGGACCTGCTGGAGGACTGAACCGGGCTGGAAATAAGGGTTGGATCACTGAACCGGGCTAGTTGGACTTGCTAGAGGGCTGAACCAAGCTAGAAATAGGGCCTGGACCACTGAACCGGGTTGTTTGAGCCCTCTAGACTGCTGAACCGGACCAGTTTTACCTGCTGAATCACAGAACCTGGCCGGTTTAACCTCCTGAACCGCTGAACTAGACTGAATCGGTCTTAAGTTGGACTGAGTCTGGGTTGGACCGTGGGTTGAACTGGCTTAAAATAATTTAAGTTGATGGACTTGACCCGATCCAACCCAACCCGTTGGACCTCTTCTCCTTCGTTGAGATTAGGGTTCCTAGAGAAAATAATCTGGTCTTCGACGACGCCACACACTACGACGAGAACTGCGACACACCACCACAGTTGCACCACTACCACAAAGATTCTTCGACTATGCCTCTTCACTACGACAAACAACAGACCACAACCGAACTTCGACGAACATAGAGACACCACAACAGATCACAATCGAACTCTGGCGAACACAGAGGCACCACACAGACCACAATCGAACTTCGACGAACACAGAGGCACCACACAGACCACCGACAACACAGTGCCACCACGAACAACCGAACTTCGCCAAACATAGTACCACCACAACAGACCACCACCAACAACTCCCCCACAACAGTATTACCACCACAACATATTCAGAATATATATTTATGATCGTAAACCTTGCTCTGATACCATATCAAGTTTGGAAGATTAACATAATATTAGAGACAATATTTTGGGAGAAACAGAGAGAGGTTAAAAACATAACCTAGCTCTCATACATAACTTGTATTTATAGTTAACCTACAATAATAATAATAACACATACACCCTCTTACTATTAACAATTTACACATACTACCTTATTATTCTTAACAGGTTTCATAAATATGAAATGTGTTGACAAAAGATGTGGTATCCTTTCTGGCCATTCTCCTATATATCTTGCATAGTTTGCTCTTGTATGGAGTGTGATGGTGCTTATGTAGTATAAATTATAATATATGGCTGTGTTATCTCTTGATGGCATTTAGGAGCCACCAACACTCATGCAGTCTAATTTTTATTCTTTTCTTGTGAGATATAAGTAATAGGTTGCAGTTTATTTGTATGGTTTTTGAAAATGCCAAAAGCTTGGGTTTGATGTGGTTTCATTTTTGATTGCACCGTTTGCACTTGCAGATTGCTAATGAAGTCCTATTTTCTTCCTTGGACTGTTTCCTTATTTTCAGCTGATGATTTTTCTGTTTATCTGTTTCAGGTAAAACTATGAGACCATCAAAAGTTTTGTTGAGAAGGGATTTGGAGAGTGTAACGCTGACAGGAAACATGATATGGTTCAAGATGATATGCAACTCTCTGATTTGCACAAGGATTTACATAATCTTTTTTCCCTGCTTGATGACATGACCAACAAAGGGCTTTGCCATTTTTCAGAGATACTGACAGATGGCTTGACTAAGTTCAACAAAACCCGTTGGAAGCTGAAACAGATCATTAAAGAATGTCTTCCTAAAATTGCTGAGGAGCCAACATGGTAAGCACCACCTGGATACTATGAAAGAGCTATCTCAACTTCTCAAGGACCCTCACAATTCCCGCAGAAATCATGCTATACTTCCTGCTCCATCATCTCAATCCTCTCATGCTGCTGCTATCAGGGTACTTAATGAACTTGAGGACTTACCTTTTAGGAGGATACAAGAGAAGCTCAAAAGGAAGGTCAAAGTAAGTAACACACAACGAATGGCAAACCTCAAATTGAAAAAAAGAATGTATTTGTAATTTTTTATTAAAAAGGGAATAAAGGAAGAGAGGCTTTCTGTTCACTTGGACATTTTCGTGTAATTAAAATCTGCATTTTTGTAAGAGCGTCTTACCTCAACATCCACTCAACAGAGTTAACAGCCGTATCTTTTTCCAATAGGAAACAAAACTTGCATTCCACAGGGAGAGAAAATGTACATAAATGACGGATAAGAAATCCATCCAAAAAGCATAAAAGATACAAAAATACTTTTTAAAGATGCTCACACTTGCTGTCTGGGAAAAGGAGATTAGGGAGGGAAGAGACTTAGGTTGTTTGGTTGTAATTGGGGGTTTTGTTGTTAGTTTGTGTGTGTGTTTTTTGGGGGGGGGGGGGGGGGGGAGGGTGAGTAAAAACAAGAATCATCTGAAAAGATTTCCCAAGGGAATTCGTCTACAGCATAAACTATCTCCGGGGGTGAGTTTGATTGCGTTGCCTACTAAATGAAAGCGAAAAAGAATCTTACAGGTCAAAGGCAATACAAAGCAAAAGTGAAAAACTTGCATCAAACAAGTAGAGAATATGGTTAGTGACCCTAGAAGAGAGGGAAGCAGTTTGTTGAAGGTCAAGACCTTTGCAAATCCACAGTGTATTTGTCACCCCTTTCAGATTTGGACCACTAGTTTAATTAGAAAAAGTTCGCCCATTACACTTGAATCTAGCAGCAAAGTTTTGAAAAAAACAAAAAGAGAATGACATGTACCAATAAAAATCATCCACCATTACAGTTACATCCACATTTACGGCTTACAGGATTTTTACTGGTAATAGTGACAAAAAATATATATACTTATCTCGAGGAGCATGACTGTGAAACAGGATAAGTGAGGTCAGTTACGGGCCTAAGTTATCGAAGGTTGTCAACCCATGTTAGCAACATGTGGAAGGTGGTTGTAGGTTCTAGGGATAAGAAGAAGTTGAAATTTTGCTAGATTTAGGAATGAGTCGGTGATGAAGACCTCGAATGCATTAGGTAAAGCTTCAGGTCAATGACCTATATTCGGATATTAGTTGTAGTCTAATGAATAATCTACCTGTAGGTCTGACATTGCAAAAATATTGCCTAGATTGTCCACTAAACCTACTAAATGCTGGATTTTCTTGTGGCAAGTGTGCTTATGTTTTCGACTAATTAAGAGGTGAGCAATAGAGGAAAGCAGTGTTATTTAAGGCGTAAAGCGAACCAAAGCGACCAAAGCTGCTAACGCCAAGGCGAGAAGCGAGAAGCGAGAAGCGAAGCGACACGTTTTATCGAAGCAAAACGAACAGTTAAAAAAAATATATATTTTAGTTTAATTACTTCTAAACAATCTAAGTTCTAATTTTATATATACTAAATATTTAAATGCAAGTAAAACCATAAACATTTAAATTAAAACAAACATTAATAATATCTCAAATCTTAATAACAGTCATAACTTAAACATTTAAATTCAAACAAATACTAACATTTGTATATATTTTCATATTGACAGGATAGGACAACAAAAGAAGCAGAATCAGAACAGTAGCAGAATCAGCAACAAAAAAAAAAAGGCAGAATGAGGATAAAAAAAAACAAAAGCAGCACAGGACAGCAAAACCGAAGCAGCAACAGAATCAACAAAAAAAAATAGAAGCAGAATGAGCTAAAAAAAAAAAAGAAGCACAATGATCATGACAGGAGCAAAATCAATTGTAAACAATTTCATATGTAATTATGCACTGAATAAAAAAAACAGAACAGAGACACATTTCACATGTACTAAAATAATTAAACATGGTATAAGCATAGACCACTTTTTGGTACCATTTGTATATATATAAGAAAAGGGAAAAATATAACCAAGATATATCAGAGACACTTCTTTGTAGAAAACTCTATTATTTACCCCTATTCATGATACTTCTGCTTCCTTTCTTTATCATAACTTTGTCATGCAGTCGCCTGACTCGCACATCCTACAAATATTCTAAATGAATTCAGCAACACAAGGAAAAAAAGGAATGTGTTTTGTTCGAAACATTGTTTATTAGAAAAAAAAAATAGACCTGCGATAGTCTAAAAAAAAATCATAAATAAAAGAGACTACTAATCTGTAATCAAAAAAAAAAAAAAGGGAAGCAAAATCGCCTCTTATAATAAAGCGTTCGCTTTTTCTCGTTTCGCTCACGTTCGCTTCGCCTGGGGTCCTCCAGGTGAGATAAGCTCGTCTCGCCTCGCTTCTCGCCTAGGCGAGCTTTTCAAAACACTGGAGGAAAGGTCACAAAAAGTTGGATTAGATATGAAAAGTTTAGAAGCTGTAATGGGGCTTGTTTGGGACACATGTATAATGCGCTTTAAGATAAGAAGAATAAGTACGATAGGAGAAGAGATGTTAGACCCTAGCACGGGATCGCCAAGTTTACATAATGAAAATCAAAGTTCGAATTGTCATTCAGCCCACTAAACAAGTTATTAAAAAGCAAATGTACACAAAATAACACTTTAGAAACCAGAACAACTTGGTGCAAGTAAACTACTACCCATGTGGCCTTTGGGCCCATGATTGACTTTTAAGACAGATTCTTTGAACTGACTCCCAACTTCTGTTAACACTCGACCTTGAGTTTCATAACATTGTAGCATAATTTATATTTGATAAAAACTAAAATTTTAATAAAATTTAATAAAGAAGTACATTATCTGAGAAAAGGAAAACAAGTTGTTCAACACAAAAACAAACAAAATCTGAAAATAGTGCAAAACACTTATGAGCACATTCTAATCTAAACAATGTTGTCCAACTCACAATAATGCAAAAAAAAAAGAATATTATCAAAGTCCTTAGATGTGGAGGTCCAGAATGAAGCTAAAAAATGGATCTGATCGGACAATCCTTCTAGCACCTCACACTTGTACTTACAAATTCTCAAATTTCTTTTCAAATAAACAACCCAAACAATGACTAGAGAATCACATTGCCAAAGAGTAATTTTCACGTATCTCCTCTAAAGCATCGACATCCAAACAAAACACTGATGAACCAAGAGGAAGAATACAAGGAAGCCCATCTAAGGATCGAATTTTTTTGTCTCCTCTGCAACAATGAAAATGTCTTGATTTTCATGAAAATTGATTCAAATCAATGGTTATGTATTAAAATTCTTAAGTTTCAAGGTATTTCAAAATTATTAAAACACCATTTACTCTAAAAACTTAAGTTGATAGATAAGGTGTAACTTAAGTATTTATACTTTAACACGTCCCCTCACATGCAGGTTAGGTTTTCAACCTAGCATGGAAAAATCTTTTAATAAACATGGTGGTGATGAGATTCAAACACAGAAACTCCTACTATGATACCATGTTAAATTGTTTCCGCTTCAAAAGCTTAAAATCTTAGAGAGGATGTAAGTTTGAGTATTTATACTTTAATATGAATAATTCAAGGTGTTTTTAATATGTTTCGATCAATATTTCAAAATGTCTCGAGAAAGAAATATTTAATTTTTTTTGTCTATTATTTGAAATATTTTTGTAAGTTTTTTTAAGCGTTTATGTTTTTGAGCTAATCAAAACTCTGCAAAAAAATAAAATTTTGATCCTTAAGCCCACCATTTCGTTTATTGGGAATACCAAATGCAATTTCCCACACCAATCATTGTGCAAATTGACAAAAACATCAACCTACTATCATCTTTTTCATTTGTTTCATTAGAATTGGCTTGGTGTTCATCTTCCTCTCATGTGTTCTCCTCAAAAAACAAAAACAACTACAACATTCATTTCCTCAACATCGACTAGTTGTGTATCTTCAAGAGGTCATATATGATATATTGATGATGGAGTCTGTGTGGACTACAAGGATTCCAACTTTTAGTGGTGGTTTCTCAATGTATCCTCATCTAAACCAAGAATCAAAATTTTTTTAAGGGGACCGCCTTTCGTCCAAAGTTACTTCGACACTACATACTTTATTTTTTAATAAAACAAAGAAAACTCAGCGTTGATGACAATGCAGAGAAGAGTGAAAAAGCAAACTTAGGCCTAAAGTATAGGATCTTTCAACTCTGATACACAATCTTCTGCAAGACAAGTTGGTTTTGTGGTTGGCATAAGCTATGAAAAGCCAGTAGCACATATTATGGGATTCTATGCAGCAGATCAACCATGAATTCCTTGGTCCTATTCTTTACATAGGTGACTTGAAAAATATCACCTCACAAGCTGAAAAAAGAGGAGGGAAACCTTTTGCCACTTCATCAAATGGAGGTTTTGAAGCAATCCTAAATAATCAAAGGATTAGTGGATTTGGGTAACACCTACACCTGGACAAACAAAAGGGAAGGTCTTGCCAACATTAGAGAATGTTTGGACTGAGGTATTGTCAAAATAGAGTGGAGAATTATCTTCCCTAGAGCAACAATTAAGCATATCCCATCCATAGAGTCAGACCATGCCCCCTGCTACTAAACACCTATGGTGATCAGCTGCAATTCCCCAAGGCTTTCAAATTTGAACCAATGTGGACAAGGGACCCTACCAGTCATCACATAATCAAAGGATCATGGCAAAACAAGGAAAGAGGATCAATTGCTTTCAAATTTTGCAGGAAACTTCAAGAAACAAAAATAGCCCTGCGCAAGTGGAACAAGGAACAGTTTTGAAATTGCACAACAAAGGCAAAAGTCTTGAGAAGCAGAATAGATGAACTGCAGCAAGAAGAACCCACTCTTGATAATATACTTGAAGAGAAAATTCTGAAAGTGGAACTCCGTGAACAGCTCAAGAGGGAAGAAATACTAAGGATGCAAAGATCTAGAATTCAATGGATATGAAGTTAGAATGCGCGACACCAGTAAATGACACGAGTTGCAGTTAGTTGCAGACAAAGATATCTGGTTGCCAATGTAATATTAACTCTAGATGATGTTTACTTTTCAGCCTATATAATAATTAACTCCTAAGTAATATTTTGAGCCTAGTTGGCAGTTGCAAACAAGTTTAATCCAGATGATTGTGTACTTAATAGCATATGCTTGAAGCTGATTACACACCAGTTTGCAAAACCTGATTACATAGCATTTTGTATGACTTTAATAGCATATGCTTTTAGCTGCTTGTAGAACCTAATTACATATCATACACTTGAAGCTGATTACATACAAGTCATAAAACCTGATTCCATATCATTCACAAAAAGTTGATTACACACCAGTTTGTACATAGTACTTTGTACAGTCACCAAAGCTGACTACATACTAGCAGTTAAATCCACAAAAGCTGATATTACATAAACCTAATAGACTTTGAA